GAGAAAAATGCGTTTTTCGAGATGTTTTCATGTTAAATTTAAATTTCTGTCGTAAATTTTAAATGTTAATTTTCGCGCGACGTCGCATTCCAATTGACGTCGCCGCCATTTGGAGGTAGTCAATGGGAGCGCCGGGTCGTCGTTTCTTTTTCGTTTTCATTTATTTATTTGTTTGTTTTTATTTGTTCATTCATACAATCATTTGTTTTTGTCGAAGGTAGTCAATGGGAGCGCCGAGTCGTCGGAGGTAGTCAATGGGAGCGCCGAGTCGTCGGAGGTAGTCAATGGGAGCGCCGGGTCGTCGGAGGTAGTCAATGCGAGCGCCGGGTCGTCGGAGGTAGTCAATGGGAGCGCCGAGTCGTCGGAGGTAGTCAATGGGAGCGCCGAGTCGTCGGAGGTAGTCAATGCGAGCGCCGGGTCGTCGGAGGTAGTCAATGGGAGCGCTGGGTCGTCGGAGGTAGTCAATGGGAGCGCCGGGTCGTCGTTTCTTTTTCGTTTTCATTTGTTCATTTGTTTGTTTTCATTTATTCATTCATTCAATCATTTGTTTTTGTCAAATTAATTGAAAGTATTGTTTTACGCGATAAATTTTGTTTTGAAATGAGAAAGCAATCTATTTCCGATCAAGAGCCGAGTCAATCAAGAGAAACCGGAACTTTTCGTAGCCGGTCCTCAATGAAGGCCAAAACTAACTGTAAGATGGTTTAGGGAGTTGAATAGAAACAATGAAAGGCTCATCTTCTGGACCGTTTCAAAACTACTTAGGCCCAGTTGTTCATGCTAAACTCAAAACTTTTTTCTAATGAACCATCAAAGCACTCCCCAGAGAATCAAATTGTTTATTTGAGGAACAGGGAATTCCCAAAGGACTCCTTGATTAGTATTCAATGAAAGAAAAGAGACCAAAGCGAATCGGCACCCCTTTTTATGGTAAAATCTCTTCAAGATGTCCCCAGAGTATTTCTCTATTCATTCACTTCTTCTCACATCCAATTTATTCTACAGATTGTCTTTGATGTGATCTGACAGATTTCATATTGTAGAGAATTCTTTGATCGACTCCCTCTTTCGATAAGTAAACAATTAGTATGCAAATTGGGCTTTATTGCAAAGTTTAAAGATTGAGTTTTAAATTGAAATTTGGTTTTTTTCTTCTAGTTTTTTTTGAACCCCATAAAAAGGGCGCCCTGGGAAAGTGGCAGAAAAAATGGAGTGGCCAAGCGTTTGTCTTTTAAATATCGGTAGGTGTGGATTGGGTATGTGAATCATGATGAATCATATTATCATCAAAAGACAAAACCCGAAAGGAAAATGTTATGGAAGATGAGAATTTAGACAGAAAAAGTATCCCTGGTTTTAATCCCCCAAACCCTCAAGCCGCCAGTTATTCGATGTTAGCACTGTTTTTACAAAGTTCATGCTTGGGTTTATCAACTTTGCTTGATGTTAAACCAATAACCTAAAGTTCGTTCACCCGCCAGGCGTTTTTAGAGTACAAGTAGCATAAGTTTGACATCGATGAACTGTTCTATCTTGCTCAAACGCTAGATTAGTCAAACAAGATCAGTTTTCTGAAATACTTGGCTCACTTTTTGGGCCAGATCAACAAAAAACAAAAGAAATCCTAAAAACATTTCTAGAGCATTTGTAGATGTAAATGTAAATAAAAGAAGTAAGGCAACTGGGCTGGGATCGATCAAAAAGTCACAGTGAAGTTGAGAGTCTGGGTGTTTTCGTAGAAAATTGCTGATGGTATATAGAATTGTCTTCCTAGAAAGTTCTTTGTTATTTTGCAATAAGTAAAAAAAAAATAGTAAATTGGGGTTACGTGGGTTGGGAAGGTCGATTCAGAAAAAGATTTCCCTTTTGAAAGACCTCCATATTGCGCTCTCTTTCTTTTCCGGGGGTCCAAAACGCGCAATTCAGACCCAATTACGGACACCCTTTTCACTTGTTGAAGAGTTGAGGTTTGTGAGGAAAAAAGAAAGAAAATATTGTGAACAATTCAAGAATTTTAAGCCAAGAATTTAAAGCTTTGATTGATGGTGAGGGAAATCCTTCAAAACTGGTTCTTTTCTTGCCGCTTTTGCCGTAAACCCGTCATTTTGATGCAAAAGTTTTTTATCCATAAATCTCGCTTTATTCGGAGGGAAATAAAGAAATGAATTGTGAAGAAGAAGAAGCAAATAAAGAAAGAATAGTCGATTGATCTTAAATTGTTTTCGATCCTTGAGCTTTGAGAGCCTTGAGAGCCTTGAGGAAAGCCTTGAGATTTAGTGATACTTCAAATTAGCTAAAAATGAGGCATGGCAATTTGTTAAGCAAATATTTTAATACTGACAATGAGACTAGATAATTCGGAACACTACCAGTGAGAGAACAAATTGTGAACAAAACCGAGAAATGGAAAAGGGTTGTGTGTAAATTCTCGATGATCGGTAGGGGAAAGGAAAGGAGAAAATGAGAGGGGAATAGGTTCAATGAAAGAAAGAAAGAAAGAAAGAGAGAAAGAAAGAAAGAAAGAAAGGAGTATTCACTCTCTCTCTCGTTCATTCCCTTGTCATTAGCATAACCGGCCGTTCTCGCTTTTTATTCGCTCTAGTCGGAAATCGAAGCGCCTCTCTTTAATGTCCAATGATCTGACCGGTTGCCGATGTGATCCTTTTCATCGGCATTGTAAACAACATTGTTCCCACAAAGCCATCATTATATGCTTCGCTTGTAATAATGCGTGGCTGCAAGGCTAAAGGACTTTAGGCTGTAGGCTCAGGATTACTAAGTAACCAGTTACAGTAATCAGTAGCTAATTTTAGAACAGTCAGCCATCGGCAAAAGAATTAAATGCAAATTCAGAGGAATAGCTGGTGGAATAGTGGATGAATAGATGAAAAGCTTAAAAGATATAAAAGTTACAAGGCTAAACTTCTTTTCAAGTCAAACACTCGAACTTTTATGAAACATAAGTGTCAGACTAATTTTTAGGACTCTATATAGCCGGTCACTTCAAGAAAGCGATAACAAACAAGATTATAAGAAAGAATAGAAGAAAAGAATTAAACAGATTGTCGGTACAATGAATAGAAAGAGAAACGGAGGGTTCTGTGCACATATCACCAGCTGGATCTTGAGGGAGAGTCCCTCCTTGTTCGTTACTCTTCAAAGACATGCAACCAATCCCGGGAACCCCATAGATTCACCCCAGAACATCTCCTCTCTCTTTTACCAAATGAAACAAAGAATCCCTCTTGCCATCTTGACTACACATGCAAATTTATTGGACGTACTCGATTGCACACATTTCTTTCGCATTCAATTCACCCGACTCTATCATTCAATTGTCCTTCTGTCATTACTCTTTTCCGTGCATACATTAGAAAAATGAGAAGATATGAAGATAGGAAATGAACCGAGAAAATAAGGGGATACTTTTTTAAGTTGTTAAGATTTGTGAAAATGGTACTTTAAAATTGTATCATTCAAAGCATTGGTAACAATTAAAAGACGATTTTTCCTATTATGAAGAGGCTAATTTGCATTCAACTTTCACTTGCATTTAAATTTTGGGCAAACTAGAGAAGCTAAATGTTTAGCGACTGCCACTGGTTGAGTGGCAGTCGCTCATCAAACATCAAAGTTGCCAGAAAACAGCTCAAGAAAATTTCAATCTAACTTGAAATTCTGGTGAGTGAAATGCGTAACCCATTTTCCCGAAATGTGGAAAAGTGATTGAATGGATAGGGTTCATGGCGTGCATAACATTGAGGCAATGATACATGCGTGTGGACAATGGGGGTGAAAAGGGGATTGGTTGAAAAGAAAATGGGTGAAAGGGGAAGAGAAGGGATGGTCAGAGAATCCCTTTCCACACTAGGTGGAATGGTGTGTCACAGAGAGAAGGGGGAAGAAGAAGAAGAAGAAGAAGAATACCCCAACAAATGTATGTGTCTAGAGGGAACAAGCAAGGGAGCAAGCACCCCGTGAAATCCATTCTCTCTAATGGGCTCTCGCCAATGTTGGTTGCACACTTCATGTGCGGCGTGAAATGGAACTCCTAGCCCCAGTCTACAATCAACTAACTACCAAAGTCACTTTAGCCGATCAATAATAAACTTTCCTCCTCAAGCAATACTAATAAGTTGGCGTTTGTTCCCTATTTTGACCACAATTTAGATTAAGCACAAAAATTTGCATATGAAATGTGATCGAAATATGGACCCGTCCCTATTTTTATCCAAGAGTTGATAAATCCGAAAAGTGGTGTCCAGAGGAGTCATGACTAATTACAGAGTTATGAATTTGCTTTGTTCGCCATAATAGTGCAAATAGTGCACTCGACCTCTCGCCGCATGGTAACCAGATGGACATGTTATTTTTCTGAAAAGTTTGTAAAGAAAAAAAGAATCGAGGCAAAATGCATAAAAAACTTCCAGCATTGCTTATTTTTACTAGTCTAGCGCCACTTTCGTGGTGCGGCTCGAAGAAAAAAGAGAAAAGGAGAAGAGAGGGTGAAAGCCAGCCGCTCAGTGTAAGGAGATCGATCTGAGTGCCGAGAAGTCCCTAAGTCCGGTTTCCCTGTCCTGATCTTTACATGACGCTATTATGTGTATAAATTGTTGCAAGCTAATTAAATTTATTTGAAACATTTCCTTTGAACAAGAACATTTAAGAAGAGCAACATAATTAATGCGTATAAGCATGAAAAATTATAGTAAAATCGGTTATAAAGTCAAACTTCGAGACCAAGTAAAGTGAGGGTTATCCATTGGGTTAATTCGTTAATTCGCCAAATCCTTTGCTCGGGGAATCGATCAAAGTAGCGATTTTCTCGAACGTACTTGACGTTTAGAAGACGGCCTTAAATTAAGAATAAAAATAAGCATAGATAGTAATTTATCCCACCGTTGTACCACTCGCCGTGAAGCGCCATGAAAGCATTATGAGCATCTTGAGGCCTGCGGAACATGGCGAAGACCAACTTTTCGTCTGTGCTTGACTCCTCACAATACTAAAATAAGTTAAAAGAAGATAAAGAAAATTTACTTACAGCAACATGCACAGGGAATCACGGGGTGAACCTTGCTGCGAAAATCCTGTTCAGCCTTTACACGATCAGATCTAAAATGTCGATAATCTATTTTCCAGTTTAAATAACAAACCCATCGCTAGCGACAAGATCTCGAATTTTCAGAAACTTCGTCAGTGCCTCCTTTGAATGTTGGGCGAAAGTGGAACGGTAGGGTTCCCGAAAGCTAGAATAACAAGGATTTAAATATTAAAAATACGCTTTACCTTTTCCTTGCCACCCGCTTTTTCTGGCTTCAAGCCATTTCCAAACAGCACATTCATGTCCACGAATTAGACGAGTTTCTGTGGCGATGCGAGACTCATTTTCGTTGATATATTCAACGGCACGTTCCCAACGAGCGAGCTCAGTAGGGCTGCTAAACATAACAAGACTTTTAACCAAACACTTAATTCAAACCGTTTAGCGGGGGGAAAGATGAGATCACGAACATGTGGAACGCTGATGTATTCCTCACCATCTGCCGCAGAATCACGAACCATATCTGAATCAAAGATTTAAAGTCTAAAAAACAATTTGAACAAAGCCCCGAGCTTCCTGGTTATAATCTGAAACATCTCATCTCTCCGATGAAATCGAGTAATAGAAAGCTCGAAATATTCCATGAAACCATATTTAACATAACTTCTGCATATCAAGTTTACCTGTAATTTGCTCAACCAACTCGAATACAGCGTTTTCTTCTACGTCCTTGCCAGACGCCATCGTTTGAAAGCAAAGTAGACAATCAGCACCACAGCAGCTGCTACAGCCAGAAGAGCTGTTGGTAGAATCAAGTAGTTGTAGAAGAATGTGACCGAATCGCGGAATGTGCCTTAAAAGATATTAGAATATTCCATCAGCATTGAGCCTTACCAGATACAACTTGAGCTGCAGAGTGAATTGTTCCAGGCTGCGAAGTAAATGTAACCAACGGCCAGTATCACGAAAAAGATTGTGAAGATAATAATGAGCAAGCGAGGCACTTCATCCCACCAAGTAATCTAAAATTTTAGTATGAGCCATTCAAGTTTTTAAACATTCCAAACTTCTTATTTTACAAAGAATTAGAAACAAACGATGTTTTCTTGATGTTGAAGACGAACTCGACCAGTACGAGGATCTTTTTCTACACGTGTGTGCTGGCCACCAACTTTCATATCGTAATAAGTAGCAGGAGCACCCATCTTAAACTAAAAAATAATGACGAGGACAAAGATCTTAACATTCGTACCTCATCAGCTGGTGTACGAGTCGTAAAATGTTTCCATAGTCTAGAAAGTGGCGACGTCTTTTTGTCATATGGCTTTGAAGTAGAAGAGGAGTGATAAATGCACACGCAGACTTCTGTCCATAGGTGTCGTCTTCATCTGTCGTATGTCCCAGATTCAACAGGCCACGCTCTAAAGTTAAAAGAATTGAAAGAAAGAAGAAAAGAATCCAAAACGGATAAATTCGCTTTTACTCACCAATCTTCTTATAAGCTGTTCCAGTAGAAGTGAGATTTTGTGCATAGAAGATGAACCAGTAGCAGTCTAAATCCAGCAATGCATGTAAAAAGGAAGCAATAATACTCTGGAGTAGAACTCGGTCCAGTTCTTGGAGGTGATGGTCCTCGTCGATCATATTATTACGCTTGGCCGATGCTGGTAGTGTACGATATCTGGTCACAAATGAATCATTGTTCGTTCCGTAGATAGTTGCTGCTTGATTCGCTTTTCTCATCTTCATAATTGCGCCGGCTCTTTTCGCTGAAGCTCATCGACGTGTCTTTCTTCTAAAGAAACACAAAATAATAAAAACATTGAAAAGTTTTTTACCGAAGGAGCACTTTTTTGACTCCTAAACCCGAATGATTGAACGATTTGCTGATTGACTGTTCTAGCCGCTCTCTTTTGCACTCCAGCCTTTGCTGGGCGCTGCTTTTGGAGACGAAGTAAGTGGGCTACGCTAAATATAGTCCTTTTCCATCGCATAACTGAAAAACACTTCACTTGATTGAGTAACAACTGGCTGATTTTCAGGATCGCTACCAGCACTCTCATCAGAATCCAATGAATTGATGGAAGTGGTATTGCGTCGTGGTGACTAAATAAAATAAACCAAAAACAATCATGAATTACCTTATTAGTGGAGCTGTTTAGGTGTCGCTGGCTTCGGGGAGGTGCTTTAGCGGTTGGAGGTGCTTGGCGGTTGGAGTGTGCTTTTGGTCTGGTGTTGCTGCGACGAGGTTGGCCCCCCTTCCGAAGTTTGGCCAGTTTCCTCGTAAAGGGTGCGAGTTGTGCCCGTGATTGGTCCACAAGTCTGGCGCCCAAAGCGAGAAGTTCAACATTCCACTGAGCGCGTTATGGCACATTGATGCGACAACCATTTCAAAAAAAACTTTATTATTATAACGTGTACGATGTTTGTAAAAGCAAAGAAAAAATAAAATACAATCATAAAGGCCCGGCTAACGTTTGAAGCTCTGGATTGCTAGGACTCTGTGGGGATTTTTGATACGACGTTTACTAAAGTTTTGGTCTATAAATCTCTTAACGGTTAGTGAACAAAAAAATAACAACAAGATTTGAAGTAAAGGCAAAGTTGGCAATGCGTTGAATGTGGCGTAAAAAAGTTTAAATCCGACAAAACCGAAATAACGCACTTTTAGGGAAAGCCAAATAGGATACGGTGGTGATATAAGTTTAGAATGTGAACTTCAAGATTATTGAGCAAGAAAACAGCTTTCAGTAGAGGTATACGAATAAAGGGATTATAAAATCCCTGGTAGTTAAGTAGAAATTCTGAAGCGCTTCAAATAAAAGCAATCAGCTGGACTCGTTCCGTGTAGTGTGTGTTGTCGATGCAGAAGAAGTGGAAGAGGAATGGTATCGTTGTGCAAAGACAGTCCATGTGTTCATCTGTCCTGTTTATGTGTATTCAAAAGAGCTTAAAGTTTAAAAATTTATCCAGAGTTACCCAAGAAGAAAAGGATGCTTTCAGATTGGTGAATATTTGAGGTGCCGATGGATAAAGAACGCACCATTGGAGCAGAGAAAACATGGAGATAAGTCAAGGTGATAAAATATAAGAATGGCAGATAGCACAAGATTTCAGGAGATTTGAAAAGAGAATTTCAATTATAACAATGATAAAAAGTGACCAGCAGAGAGGCAAAAAACCCAGTAAGTAAAAGGAATTGGGTTGAAAAAGCAGGATGAGGAGATATCAAGCTGTTTGTATTGTATCGGTTTACAGCTCGTGGAGAACCTGAAATCAGATTTTTATATTCTTTGAGGTTAGTACTGGAACTTACGGATTGTCAATTTTGAGGATCGTTGCAATTGGAACGTGTTTCGCCGGACAAAGATCGATGATCTCGACGATCACCCCAACCACCATTCGCCTTTGATGGGCTTCTAAACATTCGACGAGGCACCTCAAAGCTTTTTGGATGACAATTGAAACAGATTTCTTACTCAATACAAAACCAGTCTTGCTTGCCTTTACGGCTTTGTACGTATCCCCAGAAATTTACTTTGTCAGGTCGTAGTCGATGAATAAGAGATAGGTTCCCTAGAAACAAACTCTGACTCGCTTCGAAAAAAACAATATACAATAGTGCTCACAAACAATGTGTCTTTTAAAACGTGCCAGTATATAAAACTAATGTAATTTGTCTCTATTTCTTATGCAATCTATCTACTTTCAGTCTGTTTATGTGAGGGTTTATGAAGGACCGACGAAAAACCCACCGAGGCAAAAAGGAGCGTGGCGCAACAGTTGCTTCTAACTTTTTAAAACAAAGTATACAGGAGTGAATTCTTTCTATTTTTGGGGGCAGCGTCGGCAGAACATTATCTATCTGAACAAAAAAAGCGCACTCTAAAATCCGATCTTGGTGCTGAGAAAAGTGCGTGTGACGGATAGGGGACCAAATAGAGATAGACAGACAGACAAAGATACAAAAGTCGATTGAGAGGAAAAGCCCAATCCGTTGAATCAATTGTCACTGTAGTGGACTCTACGTAGGTTCACTCGCATAGTCGGATGGGCAAGTTTCGAGTGCTTCGCCTTATAATCATCGGCTATTTGAGCCCCATTCTTCGAGTTACATCTACCAAAATATTTTGCTTGGAATCAATTCCTTCTACTCACCTATACGTATGCACTCCACAATCACCAATATGCAAAACCCTTGGCGCTTTTGTGGGGAGAACTCTCCACCGTGTCGGTAAACACTGAACACTTATTTGCAGCATCGAACCAATCCCAATTGAATATCCATCGTACAAAATATCTAAACGATATTTTTCTCTTGTATTTTGGAGACTCACTTCACTACAATTTTTCATAACATCCCATAGTTTCTTCTGAATTGTCATCCCCATATTGTATTTGTCTTGAATACCAAGGAGCAACACCTGTAAGTAATTACGCTTATCGATGCACCTTTGTTCTTAAAATCGGATTTAAATGATTTTGATGTGATTCAATGGGAAGGGTTCTCTCCCGCACCCAATGATACAGCAATTATTCAGATTCCACAAATCTACGAAAAGTTAATAGACATTTTCGGAAGCCAGTGTATACATTGATCTTCTGACTAACCAAGAAGATCCGGTTGCGGAATTATACTTTTGTAGTTTTTCACATAAATTCTGAGGCAAAGAATATTCATTGTGGACACAAGCTGAATATTGAATATTTTACTGATTTTCCTATACTACTTTTTTTTTTGACCGGACAGCGTATACTCAAGAACGTGAAGAAAATCGGGAGAATCGTAAAAAAAGTATAAATTAAATATAAAACTATAAAAACTATAAAAAACTATAAATTTAAAAATGATAAACAAACATGAGTCACTCCTTCCAATAGGGACAACCCATTATGTGAGAAAGTATATGAGGCATGTCTCATTCACGATCAGAAAACGTGCCCAATTCATCGGAATGTGATAATATTTAGAAACTTTTTATTTTATTTCACCTCCACCACCAATGGTGCTTTATTCGAGTCAGCCAATTTGCCACTCGATGACCCCCGTATTTATCTGGAGTCTCCCAATTTCGACAACCCTTCTCCCTGGAGACCCAATAGACCATTTTTCTGATAATATGTTAATAAGATCATTAGTAGAATTTATTTATTAATATTTATATATACTTTAATATTTATTAATATTTTTACCGCTCTGATCTATGAACCGCCTTATCTATGGAATTTTTAGGGTGCCAGATAAAGAGTTAGCTCAAGACTGCTTTCGAACTATCGTAGTCTTTTTATTTTTGAACCAACTTTTTCTCTCTGACTCTTTCTCTGATTCTTTCTCTAACTCTGGGAGAGTTGAAAAGGTGTCAAAAATCGATCAATTGTATAAAATAGGGACAATATGACGCGTAGTTTTTGAAAAGTACGGACGTTTTAGATAACACTCACCCGTCTTTTAATTTTTTTCTGGGCAATCGGCTGGATGTTGTCCTGGGAATACATGTGGAAATAGTTGAGTGTTGTAAGAGATAAAAGATCTAAAGTACCTGAAACTAATTTCTTTTAAATTTTTTAGTTATTAACTTACTCTAACGAAATCTATGCTCTCAATTGCTTCATTGATCGGGGAACAGCCAAATCATGCGGAATGATCACTGTTTTTCTCGATAACCGTCGCTTTTCGTAAAGTATCAATGAGGATTTTCAAGTCGCAAGTCGATTATGAACCTGAATCGAATATGATTTTGAGTTTTCACACTTCATAATTGAATCACGATGATTGATTGAACGCACTGAAGACCAAACTTGTCGTTCACATATGGGAAAGTTCTATTGAGGAAATCAACGGAATTCACGATTTCTCTGCCCGAAATATTCGCCTTTGAGGCAATATCTAAAGTGATTGAAGTTATATTATCATAACTAGCATATTGTAGTACATGTATTGTCTTTCCATCAGTCAAGAACTGCCAAACATATCAAGCCAAAGCCAGGCCAGGCCAGCCTTGGTCTGGCTTTGCTGCCTGGCCTTTACATGCCTGGCTCCGTCGGAAATCAAGGCTACAAGTCCTAGGCCTGGACAAGATTCATAGTGAGTTATTGAAGCGGATAAATTAAAAATTCTTTCAATTTTAGAAACAAATTTGAAAGAAACACACTCTAATCTGAACTACCGTGTAATTTCCATGCTGAAAGACTTTCAACGCCATTCGCGTTTCTTGAAAGGAAATCATCGAATTCCAGATCATTGTCGATTTGATCCTAAATGCTAATGCTCTAATAACAAATATTCAGCTCACCTTCTCCGAATTGTTTCTTAAAATTCTTTGTCGCTTTCACTGGTTCTTGAGCTATTCTAAAGTTAGCTTTGTATAAGCCATTTTGCTCTAATACCGAAATAAAGTTGGATCAACTTGTGGCTGTGACCATTTCTGAAGTAGCACTATCAACATCGGTGCTTGGCTTCTTTACAGAAATATAGAATATCCCCAACTAAAAAGCAATTGATTTGATCTTTTTGATTGATCTTTTCTTTCTTTTTAAACTCACAAATGAAGCGGCTATGATGACGGTTGAGGAGTCGAGCCACTCTTCGTTTATGCAGCATATATCATGCTATCTATTTCAGCATTGGATTTGCAAATGAACCTTCAGAGAAATCTAAACCAGTTATTATATAGCATTAATAGAAAATTAATAGAGCAATTGCTTAAAAGAAGAAAGATTCTTAAGAAGATCTAAGCTATATTATGAACCAATTCTCCTTTCAAATAAACTCTAATTGAACATTTGAATAGATAGTAAGAATCTTGGGATAAGTTTAAAGGAAGTACTCGAGGTCAGTGTTGATGGGAGTGAAACGGAACAAAACAAAGAGAGAGAAAAGGAACAAGAGAGACAATTGTGTGCCGTCAAATGTTAGAACAAGCCTCCCGCTTATCGACCCGAATCAAAGAAAAAAAAGTACAGGGAAAAAGAAAAAGCTATTGAATGGTTTAATAAAATTGAAAGTTTGAGCAATTTGTGAATGAAAATAATGGGAAGCTTTGAAATGTTGGAGTCAGTTTGTTTATTCATTGGAAACCGGATACAGGGAAACAGAATGGAGTGAAAAAGAGGGGAGAAGGGAAAAGAAGAGGATGACAATTCGATCCTCTTCTTTCCACTCCATCAACATCTATCTTTGATAAAGGCAATTTACGAGAAATGCATATGCAAATGATTGCCACTAGTTTATAATCTTGGGACTCCACTTTATCCAGACATTTCTTTACTAACATTACTAACATTACTAAAAAAAGAAAATTTGCGATTTTCTAGCATTAGTCTGGCCAAAAATTGGTCAAAGAAAATCTTTTGAATTTCAATTTGCATCATTAGATATAGAATTTCTTTTAGCTGATCGTGAGATTCGTTTTTAGCGCAAAAATCTCCATTTTTAATAAATATCTGATATCTATAAAGTACTAGACCTATTTTAATATAATACTTTTTGTTTAGCAGGCTTTAAGCGGGGAAAAGGTTCATATTATTAGGATTGTTTTCGAAAATACAGCTAACTTTTTCGAGGCAATCCCAGAAAAACCTCTTAGTCATCAAATCCAAATTATTAGGTTGATGCAAAAGTCTTTTCGTTTTTTTCGTACTTCTGTTAAAAAGTAACAAATTCACCAATTAATCTATAGTTTGCTCTATAAAAAAAGTGTTTTTTGTTCAATTTGCATCTTTTAAATGAATTTCGGTTCACTTTGAAGCAAATTCGAGAGTGAAAAACGCCTTTTTCGTAAAAATCTATAAAAAACTCTACGGAAAAATTGGCTGAATGAATTTCTCTGAAATTTTGGCGAAATATCAAACTTTTTTCTCTATCTTTTTATCTATTGAGACGAAGATAGGTTTCTTTAGCTAAGGTGTCTAAACCGCATCATCGAGTTAGCCCTTTTTGACTACCCGACTTCATACTCTCAAGAAAATCCAGGCATAAAATATTTTTAAACCCGTTTTAATGTTATTTTTGCAGAAAAATAATTGGTTTTTCTAATGAAATCAACCAGAAGTTTAATTGGTGCATTTGTTGGCTTGAAACGGCAGACGAAAGGAACAAAAACACTTATGCATCAACCTATTAGATTTGGCATTTGAATTTGTCTCAAATAATTATTGAAACGTATCTCAACGTATTGAAACGTATCTCAATCTCAAATAATTATTGAAACGTACGAAACTCATCCAATCATTTGCTTTTAAAACATTCAAATTTATATGGAGAAAGCTGTCATTTTGCTGAAATAGCTTTTTCAAAAACTTTCCTTCAATACTTTCCTTCTAAAACATAGCTAACTTTTTCGGGGTAATGAGGGAAAAACCTTTCAGTTAACAAATCTGATTAGTGGGGTGTTGGAATTAGATTGGGGAAAGTATTTTTGAAAAAAGCTATTTCAGCGAAGTGACAGTTTTCTCCATATAAATTTGAATGCTTTAAATTAATGATTGGATGAGTTTCAACAATTATATGCACGTTTCAACAATTATTTGAGTTTAACAAGAGTACACAAAAACAAAGTTTACAAAGAGTGCACAGAAACAAAACACTAACCAAAATAAGCAATTCAAATTCAAATGCCCAATCGAATTTCAGATTTGATGACTAAGAGGTTTTTCTGGCATTACCCCGAAAAAGTTAGCTATATTTTAGAAAACAATTCTAATAATATGAACCTTTTCCCCGCTTCAAGCCTGCTAAACAAAAGTATTATATTAAAATAGGTCTAGTACTTAGGTCTAGTACTTAGGTCTAGTACTAACAATATTTGAGTTTAAACTCGTTTACAAAGAGTACACAAAAACAAAACACTAACAAAACACCAAAATAAGCGATTCAAATTCAAATGTAAACTTTAACGCTGAAATAAACAACTAGATATGAGTAATGTTTTAAAAATAAATACCATTTGATACATGAAAAACACAATTTGTGCGTTGAAGTGATCAACGAAAGGCCAAGCTCGGAAATCTCCCCTTTCCCCTCCTCGTCACTCACTCAAATCGTTCAAAATGAGGCGATCGATCGTAAATAAACATTAGAGTTATTTTTCTTTTACTCAAATACATGTTAAGTAGTGAATTTCAATGACATTTAAGGGAAAAGCAAATATGTACACAGGATTCGAATGAGTGTTTGATCGAAGAGAATGAGTGTTTGATAAAAAGGAAAGATATTGACACAAACGGAAAGAAATGGCATCAATATTGTAGGGAGGTGGGAAGAGAAGAGAAAAATAGAAATGATGAAAAGACAAAAAGAACACTTTGTCTTTCATTTTTTTTTGTCTTTTCTTTGCCATTTCTTTAGGGAAAAAGTGGCTCACCTTGAAAAGGGTTTTCGAATGTAAATGCGCCATTATGCTATGATGCCATTATGCTATGATGCCATTATGCCATTATGCCATTATGCTATGAACGTGGGCGAGAAAATGAAACTTTTATAACACCTATAACAGCTTGAACTTTGAACTTTGCAAATAATGGAAAAGATGGATGGAAAAGATGTAATTTAGAAAACAAAAGCATTGCTTAGTACGGTATGTTTTCTTTTTAAAAACTACAATAATCTTAACTCAAGTTTTTATCTATAAATACTCTAATAGAACGCCCACCTCTCGTATAGTTCTCTGTCTAACTTCTTTTTAGAAAAACATTTCTTCTCAGCTTCTATATTTTCCCAATTACTTTTTGGAACTAAAAATACTAGATTTCAAGGGCTATCATTTGACATCCAAGCGCACACTGTAGCACAAAGCAGCGCGGAGGATGGGACGTTCAAAGTTAGGCTATGCGACCGTACGCCTGTCATTATGGGGATGGCGTTCTATTAAAGTAGCAGTCCGAAAAAACGCCTAACGGCGGGTTTTGGCTGAATATCTTAAGCTTGTCCTCTGCGTCGCCATGGCGCAGTCAGGAGCGCGATTCTCTACCAGCCACACGAGCCGAGTTCGACCCTCCGAATTCCCACTTAGTTTTGAGTTTTTAAATTTTTATTTTAAATGACACAACTACAATATATTCTAAGGTTTCTAAAGAATTTTTCTTTAGAAAATGCCCGTACAGATATACACTTTTCTTTCATATAATTTCTGATTTTAAATGACACAACTACAATATATTCTAAGGTATGTATTGGTCTACAAGTAAGCATGTATATGTCGTAGCCGATTATGAATGAGCGGGTCCGGACGCGTCCAACCATCAAGTATTTGGTATCATTCAACGCAGAATCATTAATAATTATGTTAAATTTTTAAATTAGAAAGATTGGATAAAAAGAAAAAAATTATGGGGCCTCAAAGTTTCCTCTTGAACAAACAGTTTTTTTGCTCTAATTTTTTTTTTCTTTTTATCAAATCTTTCTAATTTTAAAAATTTAACATAATTATTAATGATTCTGCGTTAAATGATATCAAATACTTGATGGTTGGACGCTCCTAGACCCACTCATTCATAATCAGCTAAGGGGGTCCCGCCGATTTTGAATGAAACGTTGTAGCGCCAGTAATTTTTAACCTAAACTCACAAATTTGGTACCAATCGACGCAGAATTTAATTCGCTACATGATGATATAATATTGTCCTCATACATTAAAGGGTTGCTCTACTAGAAAGATTTACCAAAAAATTTCATTCATAATCGGCTACGACATATAGATCCGACAAGACCCGAGAATCATCCAAAAATTTGCATTGAACCCAAGCTAAAGAAGCTAAAGAAGCCAAAGTTACAGTTAAATCAAAAATTAAACGCAAATTATGTACTCAAATTGAAGGTTTCCCAAAGGGAGATGTCCGTTAAATGCAAATGAATTGAAAACAACAAAAAAACAAAACGAAACTTTGTGTGTGAAAAATTCATTGTAATCTTCAAGCGTTCAACTTTCTAAAATATATTATGAGTGAAATGAAGAGCCTCTCATTTCCCCACCCTTTTCCCTCGAAAGACTTTGGCCATCTCTGTATAGAGTATCTCCTGAGCTCTCTTCCTCCTTTCCTACTTTCCCCGGCTTCTCCTTTTCCTAAAAAGTAATTAGGACAAGCAATTTGTGAGGTCTCTATGAGAAGCAGAAAACTCAGCAAAACATTCATATGAGCAACTTTACAATGGTAATCTGTCAACAAATTCGAAGTTTTTCAATGTTCTCTCCGAATTCTCGAAGCACTTTATCAAATCATAGATTGAAAAAAGGAGAAAATTAAAAATATTGAGGTGAAAATGGGGAAATTTTGGTCGCCTGGAGACGTGTTCGATTGCTCACACAAGGTCTTTTTTAGCGTTTTTTTTTCCGGAAGAAAAAGAGGGTTTCCTGGTTTCTTTTTTGAAAAGAAAAAACGACTAGAATAAAGGTTTCAAGTGAGAAATTTGATCATTCAGAAAAGATGAAAATATAAAATTTAGAATTGAAGATGCAAAAGGTGAAAAACCTTAGTCAATACAATAATGATTGGATGATGATTCATTGTGCCATTTGGAAAGATCGAGAAGGAATTCATTCGAGTTTCAGAAAGAGAAAGATTTGATCAAAATCATAAACGAATCTTATCGAATCTGTCAAAAATGGTAAATGAGCTTTTGAAATTGACGAAAAAAGAAAACTATTTAAGAGAAATCTAGCAAAATCAGATAGATTAAATGAAAATATTGGATTGGTGAATTGAAAACTGCCTGCTATTGTGATATGTGACAGTTTGAGCACTTTCTTCAAAAGAAACCCATTTTGGTGTCAATGGAAAAGTTGTAGAGAATCAAAAATCAAGCTTATATCCAAAGTTTCAATAAAATTTTAAAAATTAAAAAAAAATTATTTTTAATTATTTTTTTTTTAAAGAAACAAGTTAAAAAAAAAATTTTAAAAATAAAAATTTTAAAATCTAAATCATTAAATTTTAAGTTAAAGAAATCTAAATATTTAAAATAAGAAAACTATTAAATAATTAAATTAAATGTATTTTTTTTAATAGAGTCCAAGTTTCTTGTTATCGGTTTTGCGCGCCTTTTTAAAATTTCTTTTCTGCATAAAAGCTTTCAATCAAGTGCTATAGAGCTGGAAAATGACTCAAAAATCTGTTAGCTCATGTAGTATTTTTGAGTCATTTTCCAGCTCTATAGGACTTGATTGAAGCTTTTTTGCAGAAAAGAAACCCCTAAAAGGGTCGCTACGCAGGAATATGCGATGATACTTTTACCTGGTCTTCTATTCGAAGAAATACGGTAGATTAAATGAAAATATAATAGCTTAAAGTACAAAGAAACGGTAGCTTGCAAAAATTCTCATGTTTTAGACGTTGAATTGATTGGTGTATAAAATAAAATGAACTTACATTATGGCAAAACACGACTACTCGATCAACAAAGTGCAAGTTCAAAAAAAAGTGTTTTCATTGCTTAATAATTGATTTTATTCAGTAATTTGTGTGCAGCTGTTCTATTTTCGGAGAGCATCTGTGGACACTCCCTTTTCGTTCTTTTTACGGGAAATGAGTAAGAAGTTTACACTAAATCGACCCCTTCCCCTACCATTTTCTCTTTTCTTCTCAAATCTCTAAGGGTCATTTCACCAGATTTTGCCATTAAAATGAAACTCCAATTATTATTTTTATTCCTTTTTATTCATTTTGTTGCAAGTACAAATGATGAACCGTGGATCACCTATGAGCAATTGTACGAGTCGGGAAGAATGGCCTATTCGAGAAAAGAATGGAGCGATTGTGTCGGATTTCTGAGAAGATCGGTTGAGGATTTCAAGTAGTTGTTAATTGTCTAAATTTGATTTACAAACTTCAATTCAGCTACTACAATGATGAGATCATGTGGTGTCGAGAAATGTGCGAGAAGAAATTCCCGTCAAATACAAATGCGATTGGGATGGCGTTCACGCATCTGACCGCACAACGAGCACTTTGTTTATTCAGGTAAAGGGAACTTATTTTCAATATTCTAATAGAAGAAGTCGGCTCTTCGATTTTTCAATGTTTCTCTGAAAATTTTCTTTACAAATAGGGTAAGAAAAAATTTAAATATAATTCAAGAGCTTAAAAATAGGTGTTTTTGTTGGATTTTCATCCGGTTTTTGACGCCATTAAGCTTTTTTTTAGTCTAAAACTATTATATAAACATTAAGCTATTATAGAAATATATATAAACGGGGGTGGGACAAATGTGACCTTTTTTTTTTGCGCACCTGGACATTTGCGCACCTTTTTTTGCTGGAAAAGGCCTTAGGAAAGGTCGTAGAGCTTCGAAAATATTTCCATATAAGGGAATCGTATGCCTAGATTCCGAATTTCGACAAATCAGACCTCGCTGACACGTTAAATTTGGGCTGAAAGGCAAAAACTGCAGAAAAGCGTTAAGTTGCGTAGTTTTTGCCTTTTAGCCCAAATTTGATGTCAGCGAGGTCTGATTTGTCAAAAATTCTGAATCTAGCATACGATTCCCTTAGATGAAAACGTTTTTAAAGCTCTACGACCCTTTTCCAGCAAAAAGGGTGCGCAAATGTCCAGGTGCAAAAAAGGTCGCATTTGTCCCACTCCCATATAATGTTATATAAACTATTATATAACATTATCCTTTTGCCTTTGAAAGTATTTAAAAAGTTGAGAATTTTTCTAACCGAGAAGTTAACAAAACAAAACAAAATCCGAAAAAATGAAAAATTTCGTCTAAAGGGCTTTTCAATTAGAATAAATACGGTAATTATAAATAAAGATTTGTTTTTTTAAATTAGAGAACATAAATCAGATTTTATAATTCTGAAACCTGATAGGGTTTTCATAGCGCAAAACCCAAGTAATCTTTCCAAACAAACTTTTAAAAACGACTTCTTCCTAGAGTAATCCTGATTCGATTACTTTTTAAGCTCTCAAGCAATTCCATCACTTAATAGTGGGAAATTTGCTAATCGATTGCTTATTGTTAATCGATTACGGTGAGAATATTGGTTTCTCTTGAAGTCGGCACCCAGATCCAGCAAAAACCCTCGATTCGATTAGACTAGTCAAAATATTTCCTTTTAAAAACGAAACTGGATCCGGATCAGGTTCAGCTCAATAGGATGGGTCACTACAGCTTTTCTGTTATCAATTTCATTTGCAATTTCTAGATGTAAACGCGATCGTCTTACAGAAGAGCGCCCGTCCACAAAGCGACATCTTTTATGGTACGAAATGGAGGAGAGAGCCATATCGATATTTATCGATATGTTATTGGAATGTAAGTTGATATTCAAAAAAAATATTCAAATAATAATGTAAATTGACATTCAAAAAGGCAATTCATCCTTCATTTAGCTGAAAGACCTCAAAAATGCCGTGAAAGCCGCGTACACGTATTTAGTGAGAAATCCGGAACATCAAGAAACCATTGAAAATTTACAGGTAATTGAAAAAAAAAACGATTAATAAATAATGGAAATGAAAAATTTTTAGTTTTACATGAAACAAGAGGGATTTGAAGAAGAGATGCTCGATGATTTCCAGAGAAAAGAATATGAGGTAGTGCACATCCGCGCATTGTAGTGCACATTGTTTTCTATAGGATTTTTACGTTTGAATAACCATTTGAAGCAGAAAAATGTGCTGAATTCAATGGTGAAAGAGAATTATCAAAATCGGTCTTGTAGATTTTTTTAAAAATCGCATTTTATCAAAAAGAAATTGGTCATTTTACACAGAAACGGTCAAACTCTCCTGCATTGACCATTTGGCCCTCCACTACTCGATGATAACAAAAAACAAAACAAAAACACTATAATGTGCTTCTTTCAAATAAACCATTTTCTAAAAAGTGTCAAATTTTGAAAATTACCTTAATTCTGTCTCAAGTTTTGCCTGCTTTTGTGAGGCTTCAAAAAGGATTCCAAAAGATAGGTTATATAAAAAACTAGAGGCAAGATTACGGTATCCATCGCCAGGGTTAGGCCAGTAGACAAGTCCTGCCTTGGCTTCTGGACTGGTTTAACCCTGGGGTAGCCATTGTGCAAGATCTAGAGCAAGATTACGGTAGCTTTCAATAGTTGCCATCTTTTAGAAAACCTCATAAATAGAAAATGCTCTAATGGTAATTTTCAGAAACAATTTAGAGCCTATACATGAGCGGGGTGTCAGCCTATCATCAAAACGATTGGTGGAGTTGCATTGATCGATTGGAGAGATCATTCGAAAAGGTTAGTAAAAGAAAAAATTTCTTTTCGATCTATTTCTATTCGAAGAGGAATTCATTCTAATCCCTCTTTTTAAAAAAAAAACGCGCCTTTTCTTTTTTGGCATAATTCCCTATGAATTCCTTTCAGGTATTGCGAGAAGAGGAATTGTGTCGAATGGATTGTAAAGATAAAATTGATTGGAGTTCGGTCGAGGGGACACTCGAAATCGATATTATTCAAACAAGTTTGCTAGAAAAACAGGGAAATTTCGTACTATTGAAAAATGAGTGATTTTTGTTATCAGCGCTCAAAAATAACAAAGAGAAAATTAAGCTGCTAGCACAAGAAAATTTGGAAAGAGAAATGCGTGACTTTTCCTACTTTACTTGGACTTTGCATGCAAGTTTTATTGTACTTGAACAACCTTTGTCTCACCCTTAAACTAAAATCCTCTAATTATTGTGGTACTAGTACCACAATAGTTAGAGCACTTTGGTTTGTAGACTATAAACAAGTTAGAAGTGTTTATAGTCTACAAACGTAAACTACAAACACTTCTAACTTGTTTCAAATCTACCGGATTGACATGATCTTTAGCTCAAAAAAATCGAGAATCTCAAGAGCTTTCGAATGGACTAAAGTGCACTCAAAAAGATCAATGCTAAAGAAAGTTCTAGTGGTTTATAGTCTTGATTCGAAACAGACCGTATTCGCGCGTAGTCGAAGCGCTGTAACTTTCTTTAGCATTGATAATTCTTGGTGTAGCTAAGCAATCTAAAAAAACAAATGATTTCCAGGCATGAAAGCATCGGTTCTCCGTTGTGAAAGTCAATGTTTCGAGAGATTATCCTGGGTTAACGGACACAAAGTTCGGAATATCATCGCTTCACATTTCGAGTACATTCACATTTGTCAATACAATTGTGAGCTATTCAATTCATATTTTTATAGACATTTTATAGTGATGCGTGGAACGGATGCGTGTACTTCTGTGGCAAATTATCTTCTTTTCGATGATTCTCCATTGATGAGAAGAAATCGTTTTGCCTATAATCGTCAATATAAAAAGCCGACCTTTTCACACCGGATCCGGTTTGAAAATTCGAAATTTTCTGAATTCAAAATTTTAGAAGATTCTCGCATTGTACAAGAGATCGGTTTTGGAGAAACGGCTACTCGAATACATTGATAAAGAGTTTCGAGTATCGAAGGCGAGTCAGGTAAGGACACTCACAAGGGAAGGACACAAGGGAAGGACACAAGGGAAGGACACAAGGGAAGGACACAAGGGAAGGACACAAGGGAAGGACACAAGGGAAGGACACAAGGGAAGGTCACAAGGGAAGGTCACAAGGGAAGGACACAAGGGAAGGACACAAGGGCAGGACACAAGGGCAGGACACAAGGCCGAGGTTGCCATATATCAGAATTTAACGCTGATCCCGATGCCGCTATCCGTTTTTGCAAAATGATTCGGAAACGCGAGGAAAACAAGTTTGAGCGGTGAAACATCAAAATAAAATGAAAACAAAAGTAAGGGGTCGAACCCTAGCTTCTTAGCTGTTCTTGGAAGCCAGACTCTTATCCACTACGCCACAAGAACACTTGCTGAAGCGGTGACAGAAGCGTTATATTTCGGAAAAAAAGGAAGCTGGAAAATAAGTTTGAGGCCAAATTCGCGGTCAAAAATCAGTCCTCCTTTTATAGGGCTACCGCCTCGGAACGTGAGCTTGTGGCGTAGTGGTTAAAGGTCTTTTTTCCGAGACAAGCCATCAACTTCGTTCTCGGGTTCGATCCCTTTCTTTTTTAAATTTTGCCCTAAAAAAGATAGTTTTTTGAATTATCCCAATCAATAATAAATCTTTCAGTTGGCTCCGGAAAGTTCGAAAGATCGAGAGAAATGGAGTGAAGAGATCGACTCGACAGACTATTTCCCTTATGATAAAGTCGAGAGGTTGTTGACCGATGGAGAGTGTAAAGTAAGTTCAAAAAATATTACGGTAAATTCTCTATTAGAACGAGCTCTTGATAAAGTCTATATCTATTTGGAAAAAGTATACAAATTCTTTAAGATCTTAAAATCCTAAGTCTCAAAGCTCCAAATCTCCAAATCAGTTTTATACCTAGAATAGAACTGTGATTTTCGATTGAAAAATTAATCTTGACACCATTCTAATAAAAATTACGGTAGGTCATTTAGAAGTTAATGGTAACCTAAGCAAAAAAAGTGATTCTCTAATATTTAAATGCCATTCAGGTCCTTCGTGCCCCAATTCGAACGAAAATCACGGATCTTCTATTAGACGAACTATCGACCCGTGTCAAGACTGAACTCTCCATTAACCTTTCCCCACCCTCTTCATCATTTCCATCTTCTCCTCATGTATCTTGTTCTCAAACTCCTCTCGAAGCTCACTGTGATCGATCTCTTGTATTATCCATTGATGAGAATGCTTGTTCGATGTGGCTCCCATCATTTCATCAAGGGTGTTCCATTGTATTCTGTGTTGAGTAGTGTGTCTTTGTTTGTTAACGTTTTGTTTTGTCTTTCAAAGATTCCAAAGAGTAAAGTCTTCAGCAGAAACACACACACATGTATGAAATTTTATAAAAAACGTAAAAACCTCATCACGAAGCTTATGTCAAGATTACAATAGTTTCTGAAAGTGAACACAAAACGCTTCACCTTTCACCTTTCCACCTCAACCCTCAAATCTTCTCTCAAAAATATCAGAGAATCGTCTAATCCTTTTCTCTTTTCCCGAAGCGGTGTGATCTCAATGAAGCTTGCTTTCGATTATGTTTGTGTCAAACCGTTTGAGTGTTTTTTTTCTTACAATACTCACAAGAGGTATCGCAATTTAGTTTTTCTCGTGATGAGAGAAAACCGTGATTTTGCTTTGCTTCAGCAGAAATTAACTGAATGTACTCTTTGTGAGGACCTACTAATTGGAAAGCCACAATCCATCACGGCTTTGCCGGCCTAATGGCGACAAATCTTTTTGCAGATCACTTTGACCACCTTTTCATCTCATTACCGGACCTTACTGTGAAGATTTTTGTAGCGTGGTTTAAACTTTTGCTATTCCATTTTTGTGAGTAAACTTCGAATGCTTTCTCGGCATCGATTCTGTGACCTGACTAAAAGAAATCTAGGATTTCTTTTTTTGAACTAAAATCTTAACATTTTGCTGGCGGCACGGGGAGTACTTGATTGTAACGCGAGGTGCAATATGTAGAAATCGGCTTAGAGAAAATTATAAGAAAAGTTGTAAATAAATGTTGCCGCGTTTTTTTCGCTCCTTGTCACCTCGGGTCTTCTGAGGGAGGAGGACGAGCCACGATACACCGGCCACTCCACTCCGCTTCGTTATCGCCCACCACTCCTCGTCCATATCAGCCGAATCGCAGATATATATGGTGAGTTTTTTTTTTTAAGTTTTGATCTAAATCCTTTTGCGTTTGTAAAGTTTTCTGAAGTCACTTGTAAGTGTTTTGTTGAATCCTTGCTGAAAGTGCATTGAGTACGGGAGTCTCAATTTGTGCATTTCTAACGCACGTGCATGAGATTTACGTAAACAATGAGAAAATCTCGATCAGGACGCTGCCCGACTCGGAGTGGTTTCATCTGGATGGATGTGTGGATGCCGTTCACCATTTTCTTCTCGCCAAACCATCGATTGTGTGGCCGTTTGTTCTTCCAGGTGAGCGATGGATTCAATGATGTACACGCGACAATTCTGAAGCATTTGAAATCGAGCAACCTGTTGGCGCTCTTTGGAAACTTCAGAAAGGCCTATTTTTGGCCTTTCTGAAGAACATCTGATAGTTTCTGGGCCTTAGTTTTTTTTTGATTGATGCATACTAGGTTGGTGCAAATGAAATTTCGTTTTTTTACAAAGATTAAAGTCATCCAAAATTTTTTTTGATAACAATTTATTTAAAACAATAAGCACCATTATTATCTATGACATCCCTCCAACGTTGCTACAGATTGCGGATCCCCTTCTCAAAGAACGCTTGATTCTGTGATGCAAAGTAGTTGGTCACCCAATTTTCGACTTCTTTTGCATTCTTAAACTGGCAATTCTCAAGGGAATGTTGCATCGATCTGAAAAGGTGAAAATCGGAGGGTGCTAAGTCTGGACTATACGGCGCATGTGGTAAGACCTTCCATCCTAGCTTCTCTAGTTCCTTACAAGAGGTTTTTGCCGTGTGAGCTGGAGCATTATCACGGAGAAAGTTGATAGTTGAGGGATTTAGGCCTTTTTCACGCAAAATTTCGTCAACCTTCTTGAGTTGTTGAATAAAATAAGATGAATCGACTGTTTTTCCGGGCTCTAATAATTCAAAATGAACAAGTCCATTGATATTCCACCAGCAAGACAACATCACTTTGCGCCCATGATAATCCGGCTTTGGAGTTGGAATTGGCGCTTGACCTTTGCTCAGCCATTGTCTTTTTCGAGAAGTATTATCAAAGTGAATCCACTTCTCATCCATCGTCAAGATATTCTCAAAAAAAATGGCTTCTTTTCGACTTCTGGAGCAAGATATGGCTGATCGGAACGCGTGCTCCCAGATTCTCAACACTCAATTGATGTGGAACCCATTGTCCATTACGATTTGTCTTTCCAATTATTTCCAAATGGCGTACAATTGTTGAATTGGAGATGTTTGGCAAGTTCTCGTGTTGTTTGCATTGGATCAGCTTCAATTCATTGTTGTCGATGGCTGTGGCACGATGTCCATGCGATTCGTCTTCAAGGGATTCATTACCATCTCGGAATTGGGCAAACCAGAGCTGGCGTGATCTTTCGGTGATAACCTGTTCTCCAAAGGCGGAACAGAGATCACGATGTGAATCAGCAGCGTTTTTGCCCATTTTGAAGTCATAGAGAAGACACGTGAGCAGAACATACTTTTGATCCACCATGATCTAAAGCAAAAATCAATTAAAAAGTGAAAGCTCTGACTTTGAAAAAATGCGAAAATAAAGTAAATATCCAAGAGTACAAATGCACAAAAGAACATCAAATAAGCTCTTCAGATTAAAAAAATAAGAACATTTTATATCGACCGAAATTTCTTTTGCACCAACCTAATATCTAAGAACTAGCAATTTCCGTTGTCTTACCAATGTCGTACATAAGTTAAGAATTCTAATGAAAATTTTGAACATCTAATAAAACCAAACAAACTTTCAGCCGTCCTCCTTCCCAAGAAAAACCAAGGTGACAAGGAGTGAAGAAAACGCGGCAATCTCTCAGATCCCCAAACGATGTGTATCCCATTCCTTAACTTATTTTGGCTACCTTTTTATTTCACTTTTTATTGGCTATTTATCAAGCTTTATTTTTTGACCGAAATAAATGGCGACTGAAATTTTGATGAAAATCCGAATTACACGTTACACAAAAAAGAAGGAACAATTGATAAAACAAAATTAAATCAATACAATAACTGAATCACAATAAAAGCACTAAAATTGAAAAAACCTAATAAAAACACCCAAAATTCCATTCACTCAAAAGCAGTCAAAATTTCCGATTGTGGTCCACGTAGAAGGCGAAAAAGGTGCACCATTCGCCTCTATACGACAAAAGCATGTAGACACAATCCCTGCTCGAGTCAATGTTTCGTCGAAAAAATAGATAGACCGTGAAGTCAAGCAAGTATCCGGCATGCTTTTTCCAGAGTTCGTTCGCCATTTTGAAGATTTCTTGATGATTTTCTCCGTAGAATCGTTTCATTCCAGGGAATTGCGAAAGAAAATCAAGGATTCGGGTATTCATCTCCTGAATATACAAGAAACTCAAATAAAAAACCGTCTTCAAATTCTTGCTTAGAATCGGTTTTTCAACGATTGATTGGACGACCTCTTCTAAGTTACCCCTGAATTCACGCACTTCCAAGAGTTTGATCGAAGTCTTGGCAAAAACATCGTGGTAGAAGGAAAACTCATCTCGATAAGCAGAGGTAGAGATATCAAGCTTGACTTTTTCGCATTCATCCATCTGATTTGTAATGAATTTCTCCAAACTTTCCCACCCCTTTTTTTTTTTTTTAAAAATAAATTTCCCCTTTATTCCCCCGGGTTTTCCCATTCCCCGGTGGTTTTTTTAAAAAATTTTAACAAAAACTTTTTTTTTTTTTTTTTTTTTTTTTTATAAAAGGGGTAATTTTTTTCAATTTTTTTTTTTTTTATTTTTTTTTTTTTTTTTTTTTTTTTTTTTTTTATTTTAAAATATTTTTTTTTCCCATTTTTTTTTTTTTTTTTTTTTTTTTTTTAAAGAGGGGGGTGGTGTGTTTTTTTTTTATGGGGGGGGGTTTTTTGTTTTTTTTTTTTTTTTAGTTTCCCCCAAAAATTATTTTTTTTTTTTTCACGACCACCCCACCAACGATGTCGTGGCGGGGGCGGATCGGTCTCCCTCCTTCCTTTTCTCCCTTTCTTTCTCTTTTTTTTTTTCTTTTTTTTTCTTTCCCCATCTTCTTTTTTTTTTTTTTTTTTCTTTTTTTCTTTTTTTTGGATTTCGTTCGTTTTTTTTTTTTATTTTCCTTTTTTTTTTTTTTTTTTTAAAAAATTATAAAAAAAAAAAAAGGAGAAAAAAAAAAGGAAAACAAAAAAAAAAAAAAAAAACAAAATTTTAATCAATCTCTAGATAACTCGGCTTATGATAAGAATGACCATGAAAAATTTCAACCCGGAGCCATCAAAACACTTAAAATCATTTTAAGGAGTCTATGAGTACGGACTCTTTAATTCTAGAGCGAAGAACACAAAAGATGTGAAAAATCGTTTTCTAAACAATGCGGTCCAACGCGAGCTCAGTCACGACACACCGGCCACTCCACTCAACTCCACTTTCGCCCAGCACTCTTCACCCATATCAGTCGAAACGCCGAAACGCAGCAGTTCGTGAGTTTGTTTTTGGTTTTTGATCCAAATGCTTTTGTTTTTGTAAAGCTTTCTAAAGTCCACTGTAGCAAATTACAAACTGCAACCTTACCCTTGGAATCAACACACAATATATGCCTAAGCCTTAAATTCGTTTTGTTTAGCATCAGGCAGTTCCATTATTTTGTCATTTTAGGTCTATCATGAATACCGACGGATTTGTGTTTTTACACGGCACCGATACACTCGCCTACACGAGCTCGGGGTAAGAGTTTAAAAGTTATACACTAGATCTAAATAAATACCCAAGGTATAAAACAATGAAACGACCTCATGTTAAACAAAATAAATTCTTAGTAAAACAATATAATATAAATAAAACAACAAAACACTTACAAGGGACTTGAGAAAACTTTGCAAAAGCAAAAGCATCTAGACCAAAACCCAAAAACAAACTCACGAGCTTCGGCGATTCGGCTGACATGGACGAGGAGTGATGGGCTATAGTGAAGTGAAGGGGAGTGGCCGGTGTATCGTGGCTGAGCTCGTGTTGTACGAAATTCGGGGGTGTCGGCAGCACCATCTCTGGAAGAAAAACCATCTTGTATATAGGTTGATAAGCGGTTTTCTTTTTAAAAAACAACGAAAAAAGGTTGAAATGAACTAGGCACCCACTAGCGAAGAGGTTGTAAAATGGATAACGGTTCTACAAATTTCGCGGATTTACCCTTAAATAAAAAATCTTAGCTGAATATCTTTTTTTTGCTGAAGATTTGCCATAAGTATAAAGATAAAAGGAAAGAATTGCCAATGGGTATAAAAAGAAAGAAAAGATTTGCTATTGGATAAAAACCGAACACACCGTGATTTTGTATTTTCTTTTCTTACTTTCAAGACGAAACTCCAATCTTTTTTTTAACCGGTTTTGGTAGTTCGGAGTAGACTTGACTATCGAGATCTCGATAAATTCTGGAGTTATTAAAAGAGGCTGTTATTGACGCGAAAGTTATTACGGAGGCTGATCATTGAGTGGGTATTTTAAAGAGATTAAAGGCTGAAAGATTTAAAACTAATTAATTTTAGAGATGTATCGAGAATCTCCGAGTTCAATGCCCCGCTTTCTGATGGTGCTCGTTTTATCGCGACAATCAATTCAATTTTGATTCAATTTTAATAATCAACAATTTTACAAAACTAACGTTATGATTTTCAGAAAGTAGAGAAAATTTGACTAGGAGGCTGACCAAAATGAAAAGCGGTTGTCCCTCTAGTTTTCGAGATTTTTGCGATCAAAAATTGAAAAACCTCAAAAAAGTGGAAATGCATGAAAATGGCCAATTCCAAACGCGAAAGACTGAAAAGACCGTTAGACTGAAAGCCGGGAAATCCTGGGTATGCCACTGAGTGAAGGGATGTCCCTTTGGGACAGCTCGCTTCACTACGGGCTTCGGAGAGTTCATAGGTTTCAATAAAAGGTATCAATAAACCCCACACCCTTTTCATTCGACTCGTCTTTTTTTCCTTGCCTAGCTCAGTTAATTCTTTTTTTTTTCATAGCTCAGTTGATCATTTGGCTTATTCATGTTCCTTTATGCTTTTTTACTTTCATCTTACCCATTCCTCCGTTTTTGCTATCCTATTTTTGCTTGTTCCTTATTCGTGTAAAATTTGAAAATCACTACAAAAAAAAGTGTTTTTAAAAAGAAAAAAAAATAGAGAAAAAGAGGTAGTTTAATTTAAAAAAGAGGTAAAAGGCACACAGAAAAGCAAAGATTGTTTTTAAAAAAAATTCTAAAAGGGATTACAAATAGAAATGGAAGTGTAAAAGTATAAATTAGAAAGGTAAGAAAATTTTGATAGGTTATAAAAATAAATTTTAAAAAAGCAATGATAAAATGGATAAAATATTATATTATTAGCTTTTTATTAAGGCAGTCCAGTGACCGGGGGCGTGGTAGGGGTTGTTGGGGTTGTTGTGGTTGTTTGGGTGGTGGTGGTGGTGGTGCTCGATGACTGAGTCGTGGCCGGCTTTCGAGTGGTCGTCGAGCCAAGAAATTCTAAAATTAAAGTATTAATAAAGTATCTAAAGGCATGAGAATCGATTCTGGTTCGAAATAGATGAAAACTACTCGTTATTCTGCATTTTGGTGCCTTGTAGTCATCAGCTCTAGTCACATTGCCACACAACCATTTGCCGGCCGCTTTGTTCAGCCACTGAAAAGCATTAATTGGCTTGTTTGTGTAACATTTAGAGTTTGTTTTTTGTTTCTAAAAAATCTACTATTCTTAAAAAATGGACTGGAAGTTAAAAATAATATTTATCATAGAAAATCACCTTCGAATAGCCGGAAGCACACGAAGCCGTGCCGAAGCCGCAGAGACTCACCGGGCACGGGACCACACGCGATGTGGAACCACTGAAAACATTATTAAGTTCTGAAAAAGTTATGCTAAATGTTACAGGAATCTAAAAGGTTTAATTCTCTTTTTTAACTCACAGACACAGGCATCCGAATTTCGCCGACGTGCAATTCCTCTTCTGCGTCTTTTCACCGTGTAAACCACAAGTTTTTGAACACCTCGACGCATCGCGCCAAACAGACCAAATCCCTATAAGCAAGGGGGATTGAGGAAAAAAGTATATCTTTGCTTTTCAAAAGAACAAATGGTATGCTAGATAAGCTCCGTTTGAATGCAAGCACAAAGTCGCAGTGACAGATCTTTATTCGTTAAAAGTTGAAAGTCAAACCTCCAGTTGGGCATTTTGTGCACACCGGCAGGATAGCGATGGCTGTTGTTGCTGAAAAAAAATTATATTTTTAGATATTTATTTTGTAATAGTACGATTATATGCCTAAATTTGGAAAAATACCTGAAAATGCGAGGAGAAACGCGAAAAAGAGGGTCATTTTCTAATGTTCAAATGTCTAAAATGTTCAAATTTATTCGAATTTTATTCAACGCCCTAAACAACGATAAAAACGGGTAGAAATTCGTTGTGACAAGAAAAAAATTCAATGTGCAAGATCTAGTGCAAGATTTGGCCCTCCACATTTGGCCCTCCACTACTCGATGATAACAAAAAAAAAAAATAGTGTTAAAGAAAACAAAAACAAAACAAAAACACTATAGTGTGCTTCTTTCAAATAAAGCATTTTCTAAAAAGTGTCAAATTTTGAAAATTACTGTAATTCTGTCTCAACTTTTGCCTGATTTTGTGAGGCTTCAAAAAGGATTCCAAAAGATAGATTATATAAAAACTAGAGGCAAGATTACGGTATCCATCGCCAGGGTTAGGCCAGTAGACAAGTCCTGCCTTGGTTTCTGGACTGGTTTAACCCTGGGGTAGCCATTGTGCAAGATCTAGGGCAAGATTACGGTAGCTTTCAATAGTTGCCATGTTTTGGAAAACCTAATAAATAGAAAATGTTCTAATGGTAATTTTCAGAAACAATTTAGAACCTATACATGAGCGGGGTGTCAGCCTATCATCAAAACGATTGGTGGAGTTGCATTGATCGATTGGAGAGATCATTCGAAAAGGTTAGTAAAAGAAAAAAAAATTTTTCGACCTATTTCTATTCATTCTAATCCCTCTTTTTAAAAAAAACCTTTTCCTTTTTTGCATAATTCCCTATGAATTCCTTTCAGGTATTACGGGAAGAGGAATTGTGTCGAATGGATTGTAAAGATAAAATTGGTTGGATTGTAAAGATAAAATTTATACAGAAATCAATCATAGAAATGTAAAAAAAAAACTTATAAATGGTTGATTTTTGAGTATTGGAATCAATTGGATCAATTGGAATAAGGGAAAAAGAATAAAAAATGCTGGAAAAGTGTAGTCGGCCTAACACTTTTGCAAGTATCAAAATATTTCTTGAAAAGACCAGTCAAAGAGAAAAGAACCAAATGCAGTCGACTCTCGATAAAACAATAAAACAAAACTCGATAAAACATTCAATGTATTTTTGGGATTACGTAGCTAAAAGAGAATATAGAATCGAATTTGAGTGAAGTTTCGGAGATTATCTAGTCTAGCCGTATGCAATTGGTCAAGCAACTCTTTGAAAGTCACCAATACTTTATTGGAAACACCCAGTTCTTATGCATTATGAAATGGAGAGTAAACGATGTGCGATTTCCATTGAAACTTTCCAATGTTGGTTGGCTCGAACTGAGCAATAGCGCCGAGCTGAAAAATTTGGTACGAAATTTTTCGCCAAAGGCCTATGGCATCCGGGGAATATAATGGTGAAAAAGTGATTTCTATAGGTTTTTCAAACAAAATAAAGCAAAAAGTTTTGTTTGCATATATCTTGAGAATGTTTTTATGCAAAAATTATAGAGATTGAACAAGTCTGCACAAACTAGTAGCGTTTTGGACGAGCTCAACTCAGTTTTTCTAAGTTGACACACTGTGAACTTTCTATCGTAACCGAACAACAATTGCACATGAAAAGTGAGGAATTCAGTGCGCTAGATGATCGATGTTTGCGTGTGAGCTCACCAGATCATCATTTCCTTTTGTTCTCGCGTCATTTCTCCCGCCGCTTTTCATTTTTTTTACTCTCACTTGCCGTTTATAATTCGTTTTTGTGTTTTAAATTTATTCAAATCTCACTTATTCACAGATAAAGAGTTTATACATGATAAAAATTGAGATTTTGATGGAAAAAAATGCATTAGAAGTGAACAAAATTGGTACAATGCAATTCGAGGGAGAATTTCCGAGAAACTCTCCGCGAAATACCCAACCAAATTCTACGGTTTCCTGCTCAGAAGGGACTTTTTTTGTGCACATTGTATCGACGGATTGCGTGATCAACGAACGTTACAAATCTGGGGTGCATTTGATGGAAAAGTCCAATCTGAAAAATACAATTGATTTGTACATTTGTTCCTTTTCATTCGAAATGAAACATTTCACTTTCAGTTATGTGATTTTTCAAAGTGTCTGCGAAAGAGGCGACGAGATGCGCCGACAAACAAACGAGGAACAATCAAAAAAAGGACTTAAAATGATTCATAGTAGTCACCATCCCAGGTGAACTTGGTTCTTCCTCAAATTGTGGCTACAAAATGCTCTTTTCGTTCTCCATTAATTCCTAGATTGAAAAAACCAGATTCTTTGCTTTTGTTTTCCTATTTTAGTGTGCTTCTTAGTGATAATTTGTTTTCTAATTTAAATGTTGAATGCATTTTTTTTTTCTTGATGACCTCATTTGTACAATAGATGTTTCTGCATACAATAGAAAAAACACCAGTGAATCGCACCAAATCACATTGTAGCCAATAAAATGCTCTAAGCGTTGTAGTATTGCAATCTACGGTTAGTTTATTTATTCTAAAATTTACATTTAAAAATGCTAAAAAAAATACAGCTTTAAAATACCAAAAAAATAACTCTTTTAGTAACGGTATTCACCACGAGATATGACATCATAACAGTATTTAAAGAGAGTACACGTACAAATAAAAGTGAAGGAATATGGAAGAGAAAACGGAAACGTTTAACTTTTAAAACTATATGTGGCTTCTGCTAAACCATTATATTAATACATCAATGACTTTAGATGTGTGATCCGATCAGCTTCATCTACGAATCCTCCACCGATCCGATCCATTCATCCTCCGGATCCTCAACGTTTCCTTCAGTGTTTTGATTATCGTATTTGATCAAATAACAAGAATCGTGTTTCATCAAGATTAGCAACTGTTCTTCTCATCAAATGGTGAACTGAGCAGAGGTCCGCTTGCCGTCTCATCACCAAACTTTGTTAAAATGGTCTTTTTGTCCTCAATTCTCAGGCGTTCACTGCCGCGTCGAATCGGTGCCAACCCGAGAGTCGTAAATGTAAATGACTGAAAAGTCGTAAATGATCTCCGGCTTTCAAATTCAACCTCTTCCCTCCACGAACCGTCAACGTATTGTTTTCCTCGATTTTTCCCCAGTATTCCAAGGTGAATGCAGGATTTCGATCGATCCTGCTACGGAGACCATGGATAGTTTTTGGGCGTCACGTGAAAATGATCCAGTCTTTTGAGGGAGCGATTCGAATCGAGAAATTACCCGAATCATCCCTCCTCAAATTTCATACTGATCTCCACCTTCGATTGATCAAACGAATCCACTCCTGTGACAGCTTGTGGATATTCTTAGGTTGGAATTCTGAATTCAGCAACGATCACGCGACGATTCTGAATCAATTGACCTCTGTGAAAGTTTTGGCGCTCAATGTAACCATTGTTGCCCCTCCGAACAATCGCGCTATGCCTTCTTCACGAATGCTTCTTACGGCTCCATCTAATGTGTGTTTGTGATTTTTTCTTTCAGCAGGAGGCAACTTGACATCATTTTGCAATCGAACGTTGACAAGATCGCCCGGAGTCCCCACTAGTTCGCCAAGCGCTCCAGAAATACCAGCCAAGAAGGCTTTTTCTAGAAAAGGTAGGCTTTTACCTGATATATATTGCCTTTTCAAGCTATCATAAGCCGCAAATCTTGTCGTTGAATAGGTTAGTTGTCGCAGCAACGATGCTGAGAGGTCATTGTAGTATGTGAGTAATCCATTCGATTGGATATCTACTATTCTCAGGATATGAATACCCGAATCGTCTATTTTATTTCGCAATCCTCTGGAATGGAGCGATTTGACGGAGAAAATCAGCAAGAAGTCATTAATATGGCAAACGAACTCTTGAAAAAGACGCTTACTTGCATCCGCTGACCGAAATCGGCAATCTGCCTACCCGATGATCGACATTCTAAAAGATTCACATGATACAATTTCCGCAAACAACCAACTCTCGGATGAAATGGACAACGAGAAACCGACATCTTCTTGTTGGCATCTGCCATTGTGGCGGTAGGGGTGAGGGTTGCATTAGAGGAGGCTGAAATTTAAGGTGCAACTTAATCCAGATTGAACAACACCCCGCGATAATTTCCGCTTTATCCAATTGGATAGCCACAAAATGCAAACTGCGGAGAAAGCCCGACTTGCATTGCTCGAAAAAGACCCCTAAAACAAGGTGAGAAGGAGTGAAGAAAACGCGACAATCTCTCAGATCCCCAATCGATGTGTATCCCATTTCTTAATTAATTTTCGCTACTTTTTTTATTTATCAAGCTATTTATCAAGCTTTATTTTTTGATCGAAATAAAGATGAGAAAAGAAATAAAGAAAAGATGATTGAAATTTTGATGAAAATCCTAATTACACGTTACAGAAAAAAGAAGGAACAATTGATGAAACAAAATTAAATAAATACAATAACTGAATCACAATAAAAGCACTAAAATTGCAAAACCTAATAAAAACACTCAAAATTCCATCATTACCGATTGTGGTTCAATGTAGAAGGCGAAAAAGGTACACCATTCGCCTCTGTACGACAAAAGCATGTAGACACAATCTCTGCTCGAGTCAATGTTTCGTCGAAAAAATTGATACTCTGTGAAGTCAAGCAAGTATCCGACATGCTTTTTCCAGAGTTCGTTCGCCATTTTGAAGATTTCTTGATTATTTTCTCCGTAAAATCGTTTCATTCCAGGGAATTGCGAAAGAAAATCGAGGATTCGGGTATTCATCTTCTGAAGAAACAAGAAATCCACATAAAAAACCGCCTTCAAATTCTTGCTTAGGATCGGTTTTTCAACGATTGATTGGACGACCTCTTCTAAGTTACCCCTGAATTCAGGCACTTCCAAGAGTTTGATCGAAGTCTTGGCAAAAACATCGTGGTAGAAGGAAAACTCATCTCGATAAGCAGAGGTAGAGATATTAAACTCGACTTTTTCGCATTCATTCATCTGATTTGCAATGAATTTCTCAAAACTTTCCTTGATCACTTGGTTTTCGTTTAACAAATCAATGTTCACGTCAATCCACGCGGATTCCTCAAT